GGGGGGGGGGGGGGGGGGGTAGGTGAAGTGACTGCATAATGGTTACCTTCTCCAGTCTTTTGCAGAAAGCTTCAAATTTTCCAAATATATACATTTCTGAAACCTCAAAAGATTTTTCTCCTGAGGACTCTAAAATCTGTTTCCTTGTCTTATGAAAAGATGTCTGATATTCCTTGAATAGGAAAATGCAATCCTATGAGAAAATTAAAAGAAGGTATGATGAGAGTTTGTTCAGGAGTCAGAAATTCAAGAATCTGTCCTCGGGGCGCCTGGGTGGCACAGTCGGTTAAGCGTCCGACTTCAACCAGGTCACGATCTCGCGGTCCGTGAGTTCGAGCCCGGCGTCGGGCTCTGGGCTGATGGCTCAGAGCCTGGAGCCTGTTTCCGATTCTGTGTCTCCCTTTCTCTCTGCCCCTCCCCCGTTCATGCTCTGTCTCTCTCTGTCCCAAAAATAAATAAACGTTGAAAAAAAAAAATTAAAAAACAAAAAAACAAACAAAAAAAAACAATCTGTCCTCACACGGTGCTGATGGCATCAGCCCCTCAACAGGAGCTGTTGCTGTTACCATTAAAATTCAAGTTCTCCGCCTACCTATTGAAAAGCCTGGGATTGTGAAAATAGTTTCTTTTAATTTACAACGTACTTTCACTTTCTTCATTCGCACTGTTTCCCTTATTTCCTGTCATCAGAGTGTGCCATACACTGTTTGTACATTCCCATGGCTAGTTAGAACTCCTGGGAGGGCAGAAATTATCTCTCAATTCTATTTATCACTCATCTATCTATCTGTTACTATCTATTGTTCATCAACATTCTTTTCATACAGGTATGTAAAACATTAAAACTCTGCAAAACTAACTTATCATCCAGCCACCGTTTCTCTACAAGGAGATCCTAAAAACTTTGATGAGTGTATTGCTGAAATCCTAGTGGTATTTGACTTTAACTACAGCACTAGCCAGTTCAACCAGGCTGGTGAACCTTTTTAAATATAAAAGAGGATGTGGTCCCTAGGGTCCAGTAGGAATTCTTTGTCACATCACACTAACATTCTCAAAAAAACCAAACCAATTAAAAAAATATAATGTTGGGGTGCCTGGGTGGCTCAGTCAGTTAAGCGCCCACTCAGCTCAGGTCACAATCTCATAGTTCTGTCAGTTTGAGCCCCGTGTCCAGCTCTGTGCTGACAGCTCAGAGCCTGCAGCCTGCTTTGGATTCGGCGTCTTCCTCTCTCTCTGCCCCTCCCCCGCTTGTTCCCTCTCTCTCTCTCTCTCTCTCTCAAAAATAAACATTAAAAAATAATAATAATAATGTCAAACTTTCCCAAAAAACTAAAAATAGAACTACCCTATGACCCAGCAATTGCACTACTAGGCATTTATCCAAGGGATTCAGGTGTGCTGTTTCAAAGGGACACATGCACCCCCATGTTTATAGCAGCACTATCAACAATAGGCCAAGTATGGAAAGAGCCCAAATGTCCATCGATGGATGAATGGATAAAGAAAATGTGGTATATATATACAATGGAGTATTACTCGGCAATCAAAAAGAATGAAATCTTGCCATTTGCAACTATGTGGATGGAACTGGAGAGTATGATGCTAAGTGAAATTAGTCAGAGAAAGACAAAAATCATATGACTTCACTCATATGAAGACTTTAAGAGAAAAACAGATGAACATAAGGGAAGGGAAACAAAAATAATATAAAAACAGGGAGGGGGACAAAACAGAAGAGACTCATAAATATGGAGAACTGAGGGTTGTTGGAGCAGTTGTGGGAGGAGGAATGGGCTAAATGGGTAAGGGGCATTAAGGAATCTACTCCTGAAATCATTGCTTCACTATATGCTAATTTGGATGTAAATTTTAAAAAATAAAAAATAAAGTTAAATTACAAAAAAAAAACACAACCTTTTCCAAAGGCACCCATAGCCAGTCCAATTTTTATCACAATGCCATCTCTCTGGTTCTGGCTCTTCCATCTCCCTCCTTGCAAACAAGGCCTCTTGCCATTATATTGGGCCCACTTGGATAATCCAGGATAATCTCCCTGTCCAAAAGTCAGCTGATTAGTAACCCTAATTCCATCTGTAACCTTAGTCCCCCCACACCTTGCCATATAATAGATTCACATGTTCTGGGGATTAGGACATAGACATCTTTGGGGGGCCATTATTCTGTCTACCACAGTCACTAAATCAGAATTTCTGTGACTGAGACTCAGGAATCTATATTTTTAACAACTTCCTGGATGACTGCTATAAACATTCAGATTTATGAATAAGTGATATTATACTTCTAACTATGACACATCTTGCCTCTTCTATCTCAATCTCCAAAACAACATAACTGCTCCTTTCAAGGTCACTGATTATTTTTCATTCACCCAATAAGTTTATCAGTGTGTACCATGTGTTAGGAACTCCTTGAGATGCTGGGAATACTGATAAGACCTCTAACCCTCATGGAATATACCATCTAAGAGCAATTACTTTATATTACTTCCCCTTCACCAATCAATCTCTTCATGTTGGACAAAGGAGGTAAAAGGATCTGAATAGACACTTCTCCAAAGAAGATATATAAATGGCCAATAAGCACATAAAAAGATGCTCAACTATAGCTAGCCATTAGAGAAATGCAAATCAAAACCACAATGAGATATTACTTCATACCCATTAGGATAGCTATTGTCAACAAAATAGACAATAACAAGCATTGGCAAGGATGTGGAGAAAGGGGAACCCTCCCGCATTGCTGAAGGCAATGTTAGATAGTGTAACCACTGTGGAAAACAGCTTGATGGTTCCTCAAAAAGTTAAACATAAAATTACCATATGGCCTAGGAATTCGAGTTCTAAGTATTACCCAAAAGAATTGGAAGCAAAGACTCAAACAGATAATTGCACACCAATGTTCGCAGCAGAATTACTCACAATGGAAAAATGGTTGGTAGCAATACAGATGCCTATCAACACATGAATGGATTTTAAAAAACGGGGTATATCCATACAATGGAACATTAACTTACGTTAGCCATAAAAAGGACTGATATTCTGACACACCGCCACAAATGACAGAACTTGAAAATGTCATGCTAAATGAAATAAGCCAGGCACAAAAGGACAAATAGTGTATAGTTCCACTTAAATGAGATACCTAGCATAGCCAAATTCATAGAGACAGAAAAGAGAATACAGGTTACCAGGGCTTGTGGAGGGGACAGATGGGGGAGTTATTGTTCAGTGGATACAGTTTCAGTTTGGGATGATGCAAAAGTTCTGGAAATGGATGGTCCTGATGGATGCACAATATTGGGGATGTACTTAATGCCATTGAACCATATACCTCAAAATGGTTAAAATGGTCCATTTTATGTTCTGTGTATTTTACCACAATTTTAAAACTTGAGTTGTAAAAAAAGAAAATAATTTTTAAATCTTCCCATAAAGAAAATGTCCAGCCCAGGTGACTTATTAGATGAGTTCTATCAGATCTTTTTTTGTACAATATTTTCTGTTTGATTTTCTGAATGCACACACAACAAAGATTATCATCAGGTCATGTCATAGCTGTACTTGTACTCAGTACCCTTGAGCGTCTTCCTCTGCTTTTACTGTCTCAACAAGTCCCTTATATTATTTCAGGTTGTTTTTCTTCTGTCTTGCGAGGCACTGCTTCTGCTATTTTTTCCCTATTTTTCAGGGGTATTAGATATGTTTTCAAAGCTTGTTGCAAAAGCTTCTGTTCTTCTGTTGTCCAAAAGGTGAAATCTGTGCATGGACTTTCAAATTGTTCCAAAGGTGTGTACTGTCAGCTTGAGGCATGACTCCCTGTGGTGTGCTGTCTTTTTGATGCAGGTCATGATTTTGGAGACTCTTTTTTTTACCAACTCCATAAAAAGAGTATGTGTTCATGTAATTGGCAACAGCTTCCTATGCTACTGTGATTTATAAGAAATACACAGATTTGGTCATTCAGGTGACCAAAATACATTTCTCATATATATTTGGTCTTCATCCATGGTTCCTGGATCACATCTCCCAAAAACCTTGCAATTTCACAAATTACAAGAACAGTGGGAGTATTTTTGTCATAAGATTTGGTCTCTTGTCCTCGGTTCTTGAAATTGCTTTCGAGCCATAAAGGTGAAATGGGTGTTTTGTTATTCATAACAAGCCCCTTTCCACCACAACTGGGTTTACATCATGAAGTGACTTCTGGAAGCAGTAAGGGTGGGGGCTGGTTGCCAGGGGAATGAACCAGGAATGTCTTACCCCCAATTCTGGGGAGGGGGGAGGGCTGCAAGTTGAATCAATCACCAATGGCCAAGGAGTGGATCAGTCATGCCTATATAATGCAATGAAACCTCCATAAAAAAAACAACCAAAGCATAAGAGACTGTTAAAAACTGAGAACAAACTGAGGGTTGATGGGGGGTGGGAGGGAGAGGAGGGTGGGTGATGGGTATTGAGGAGGGCACCTTTTGGGATGAGCACTGGGTGTTGTATGGAAACCAATTTGACAATAAATTTCATATATTGAAAAAAAATAAAAAATAAAAACATTTTACTATTTAAAAAAAAAAAAACAAAAACAAAAACAAAAGGAGGGGGTTCCAGTTGGTGAACACATGGAGATCTGAAGAGAGTGGTAGACTCCAAGAGGGAATGGAAGCTCTAAGCCCTTTCCCCATACCTTGCCCTGTGTACCTCTTCCATCTGTCTGTTCCTGAGTTATATCCTTCTATAATAAACCAGTAATCTAGCAAGTAAAATGTTTCTCTGAGTTCTGTGAACCACTCTAGCAAATTACTGAAACTCAAGGTGGGGAGTGTCATTGGAACCTCCAATCTACAGCCAGTTGACAACCTGGACTTGCTACTGGCATATGAAGCCCCACTCTTGTGGGGTTTAACCTGTGGGATGTGATGCTATGTCTGGGTAGATACGTCAAAATGGAGTTAAACTGTAGGACACCCAGCTGGTGTCCATGAATCGCTTGTTGATTTGGGGAACTCCACCCCCCCCCCCAACATGCACACACACACAATTTCCCATCCTGAATTTGTTCCAGCAAGGAAGAAGTTCACAGCTTTAATTAGTAATTGCAGGTCACTTCTCTTCTGACCGGTTTTTACTGCCATTTCCACCTTCGACAGTTGATTTGTCTGCATTCCTAGATGCTTGCCACATACAAGGCCTTAGCTTCCTCCTTCTCCTTTGTAATTTGCTCTTTTGCTTCTACCATCTGTTTTACCAGAGAAGCCATTCCTATTTCTTTTGTAGATGCTGATGCCTTTCATTTAAATACATAAGCTTGCTAGTTGGAACCTATCTCAAGGTTTTTCCACTTCTTCCTTCCCTCTAACCTGCTCCATCTCAGTATCAGAAAAGTGATTCCAGGTCTTCCATGAATTATGAAGTTTTTGCCTTTCCCTTTTAATGGCTTTTTTTCCCCTGGGTATCCTTCCCTTCTTTGCCAATAACCTCCTCTCCTTTCTCCTGAGCTCTCCAAGCAGCTTCTGCTTCAGCCCATCTTTGTTTTTCCTCAGTTTTGGGCTCCTTCTGTTTTCCTTCTGCTTGTGCTTTCTTCTCTGCTCCTTTCTTGGCTTTTTCTTTTTCTTTTAAAACAATTGTTTTACCCTTGCATCACAGCTATATATACATTATCAAGTAATGTTCTCATTCAACTTAGTTCTTTTTTTTCTTGATGTCCTGTTGCTCTGTCATGCTTCTCAATCCATCTCCTCTCATTGTGACATCCTGCTTCTTTATTTAAATACAAAAATCCTCTCCAGCAGTAAAACTTATACCAGAAGGAATAAAATGTCTCTCCATCTTCAAATGGTGAATTCATATCACCAAGTTTATGAGCTTTTTTATTCTTTATCCAGAATTCCTGTCAAGCCTTGGGGAAAACACTCTGAAGAACTTGTCCTTTGCTTCACTTTTATTTATTTTTTTAATATAAGTTGTTTTCAAGTTGGCTAACACACTGTGCATACAGTGTGCTCTTGGTTTTAGGGGTAGATTCCCATGATTCATCACTTACATAAAACACCCAGTGCTCATCCCCACAAGTGCCCTCCTCAATGCACTTTTACAAGTAACTGAATTATGAAAAGTAAGCTGTGTTAGATTCTCTTATTTTCACTGGATCAGACATTTCATAAGCTTTCATAATGCAAGTAGTTATGAAGTAGCCATGATTTCCTTCTTTTATTGTTTCTTCAGCTGCTTTCAGTGATATTTTAACACCATTTTTTATGAGCAGCTTTGGTCTATCTCTGTGTAACTCTGTCTTACGTGGCCAAATCCAAGAACCACATATGATCCTGGTTCTTCCCGTGTTTGGGATCAAGTATTTTCAGCATGAGAAATCACCCTAATGAGGCAGGCCAGGCCAGGTCTAAGGACTCAAAGACAGGGTCCTACAGGACTAGTTAAGAGGGTCCTTGGCTTCATGCAGTATGGAAATCAAACATGAACCAGCAGGAAGTGGGAGAAAAGTTTTTTGAAGATATAGAGAGAGCAGATATGAAGAGCCATCTGGGAGACTTGAAAAGGAAAGGAGCTTGAGTCTCATCTTTGCTTGGGGTCTCAGGCTTTTGCTGGCACTTGTGACCTGGTGCATGGGTCCTCTTAGGCATCCAAGAACTGAGCAGAACAAAGGCAGGATCCAGGTGTCCTTCATATCACTCACTCCCTGAATGAGTCTTGGCATCCAGATGTCTAGTGCCAGTCGTCTAGAATAGGCACATGGTGGCTCTGCCCGGGTCATTCCTTAGATATCATCTATTGTGCTGGAAGACTCCAAAGATATCATTATCTCTCTGTCCCTCAGGAGGAGGACATATGCTATTTGCATTACAAGGCATGTGAGGAGTGGGGTGCTGGTGCGGGTCCTAGCAAGAAAAGAAGCTGGAAAAGAAGCAAAGGGGGGAAAAAAACAGTTTTTTCTCTAATGGGGTCCCTTGGGTTTCCCTGTCTCAATAGTGTAGTTCTTCACTTTCTGTTCCCTGTCATCACTGGTTCCAGAGGTCAGAAAATGGTGACGGCAGTGCTTAGGCAAAGCCCTGTGAGTGCAGCGGTTCACGTCCCATTTGTTTTTTATTTTTATTTTTTTTTTTTTTTAATTTTTTTTTTTCAACGTTTATTTATTTTTGGGACAGAGAGAGACAGAGCATGAACGGGGGAGGGTCAGAGAGAGGGGGAGACACAGAATCGGAAACAGGCTCCAGGCTCTGAGCCATCAGCCCAGAGCCTGACGCGGGGCTCGAACTCACAGACCGCGAGATCGTGACCTGGCTGAAGTCGGACGCTTAACCGACTGCGCCACCCAGGCGCCCCCACGTCCCATTTGGAGAGCACTGACCATCCTGTGGCTCTGCCTCCCAGGCCCAACCTTGTGCCTTGGTTCCATAAAGTCCACAGAACAGCACATGATGACAGCCAATAACAACTTCTGGATGAAACCATTTCCTGCACACTTTAAAACACAGATCCTTTTAATTTTTTACAAACTTCTCCAGAGAATAGAAAAGGGAGGCATACTATCTTCCCCTCCTCCATCTCCACTCATTCTGAGACCTTAGTGCCAAAAATACTGACAAGGACACTATGAGAAAGGAAATTTGCAGGCTGTCTATCTCTCATGAATATAGTTGCAAAAACTGTAGCAAACAAAATTGTAGCAACCCAAATTTTAAAGTTTTTTTTTTTTTTATTATACCATGACCAGGAAAGTCTCATTTTAGAAAACCTAAAGATGTCATCCATCACACTAACAGACTGAGGAAAAGAATCTAATAAGCATCACAATAAATATCTGCAGAAATTTCTTTTTTAAAACCCATTCATAACTTTAAAAAATATCTCCTAGTACTAAAACTAGGAATAGAACTTCCTTAATCTAGTCAAAGATGTATCTAAAACCTATGAATGCATCAGGTTTGCAATGCAGAGTGCAAAATGGGGAAATGTCTGAAACATCCTCCTCCAGAAGATGATCAAGACCAGAAGCCATCTATCATTTTGATTATTTAAGAATGTATGGCAGTCGTCGTCAAAACAAAAAGGCAAGAAAATGAAATTAACAGGAGCTGGAGTGAAAGGCAGGGACCAGAGTATATGATACAGCAAGAAGAGTCTGATGTGGGCAGCCATAGATAAGATGAGGAACAAATTATACCCTAAATGAGCACTAAATATAAAGGAAAGCTGATAATTCTAATGAGGCTCCTTTTATGTTCTCATGCTACTCTGTAAATGCTTTTTCAAAGTTAACGTGTTCTGTGAACGAACAAAGTAAACAAAAGTAGGCCAGACAATGAAACCTTTACTTTATGAAAATAAGAGTATTTATACAAACCTGAATTTTCTTTAATACAAGTGGAGTTTCCTGATCCCATACGTGGACAGTTCCTCCATCAGTAATATATGCTTTACATGCTGTCACCATTTGATTTGTTACCTAAAATAAATACAAGTTCAAAAGTAACTACAGGTAAAAAGAGAAATAAAAGTTAAGATTTTTAAACCATAACCAAAAAAAATATGATAAATAGTAAATTTACAAGATGAAACCACAATATAAAAAATAAAGAAATACACATTCTAGTCCAAACCAAGAAAATTCAAAATTTTGATGGCATTTAAGTTGATGTCACTGGGGCCATAAATTTCAAAGTCCTCTATATTTTTCTGTTGTTTATCTTTCCTCTAATTAGGATCCAAGTGTGATTCTTCACCATTCTTCAACATGCAAACTAAATTTAAAGTTAACCACATCCCCAAAATAGTGGGAGAAAAAAACCAGTCACTTAAATGGTCAGGAGGTTAGACTGAGATGGCAGGTTGACACACAGACATTTTGGAGAATTCCTAAAATATGGAAAGCACATGGGATCAAATTTCCAGAAAGGAGGTGTTTGGGGGAAGACTAGAGAAAACCAGAACCCAGTTCTGGAGAAGGTTACCATGAAGGTGGAACATTTATGGGAAATCTTTGAGGTGGGAGACAATGAGAGGTATCCCTTGTTTATGATGCTGCACATTGAAATTGGAGCAGCTTGTACAGTAGGTAACAATGACATATGCTGGCAGGACAAAGCCATGAGTGTGGACTATGCCCCAGGTAGCTTCTGTGCCCCAGGAGGACATGTCAGAGAAAAAGCTCTTGACATTCCCCCCCTGTCCCCCCCCCCACACACACACACACAAGAGACAGACTACAAGGAACAGCACAGGAAGGCAAATTAGGAGTTGAAGACAAAAATAGGCAGACAACTAAGAATGACCAAACAATTAAAGAAAATAAACATGGTAACAGAGGCATTAAACTCAACAAAAAGGAAATACAAAAAACATATATGTAAAATATTTTAAAATATCTTTTATTAACTAAATTAGTTCAGGAGGAAGATATGAGAGTATTTTGCATCACGAAAAGAAAACAACTAGAGAACTTGGAAGTTGAAATTTTTATTATCAAAATAAAAAAAATTTATTGATGAACTGACTGGCAACTGGGACATAAATGAAGAGCAAATCAGTGAGCTGAAAGGTCAAAGGACAGAAAGTGACAAAAAAAAATTAAGAGAAATGGAAGTTAGATTCAAGGGGAGAGAATAAATTGAACAGGTAGGTAAGGAATAGTCAAAATCAAAACAAGGAAATTTCTCAGGAATGGAGACAACAGTCTTTGGATTGAAATAATCCAGCAAATACAGAACAAGATAAATGTAAAAAGAAACACATCACTTTGAAGTTTTAGAAGTTCAAGGATAGAGAAAAAAAATCCTAAAAGCTTCTTGAAAGAATGAGATAGGTTGCCTACAAAGGAAAAATAATCAGATTAGCATCTAATTTCTCATGAACAGTCCTGGATAGGAGACAACAACATCTTCAAGTTTCCAGGAGAAAATTATGTTGAAATTGGAATCCCAGTCAAACTAACATTTGAGTGGCAGGACAAAATGAAGCTATTTTCACACATGCAGGAATTCAGGAGGTTCACCACACACAGACTCTCTCTCTGAAAGAACCATTTGAGAATACTTTTCACCCAAAGAAATAATGAATCCAAGATGGAGGAAGATATGGAAATCACCAAACAGAGGTGATCAAAGAAACTAGCAATGCTTAGATTTTAGTCGGAATACATGTGGATTCAAAATCTTAACAAAATATTAGGCAAAATAGTTTAAAAATATTAACAAAAATAGGGGCGCCTGGGTGGCTCAGTTGGTTAGGCAACCAACTTCAGCTCAGGTCATCATCTCACGGTTCATGGGTTCCAGCCCCGCATCGGGCTCTATGCTGACAGCTCAGAGCCTGGAGCCTGCTTCAGATTCTGTGTCTCCTCTTCTCTCTGCCCCTCCCCTACTCACACTCTGCGTCTGTGTCTCAATAATAAATAAATGTTTAAAAAAAATTTTTTTTAAATATTAACAAAAATATAAAATGAGAAATCTCAGCGTGGGACATACATAACAAGAAAGAGAGAGACAAGGGATGGGGAAAAATCCTAAACTTCTTGCCTTGTTTGGGAAATAGATGATGATTAAATCTATTCATTTGCTTGTTAAAAGAAATGTGACTATTACTTTATATATTTATGTTCTGCTTGAATCACAAAGAAATTCTATTCTTGTGTTTCGTGGATGATTTTTCAAGTTACTTAAGTGATGAACCATATGTCATCAGAGGAAGATTTTACACAAACTACAGGGCCACCGGGAGAGGCTAAAGACACATTGTTAATAGTGGACACAATTCTTAGGTCCTGAGGAAACTATCTGAAAAGAATAAATTAGAAAAGCACCAGCTACATTTAAACAAAAAACCTGAGGGCTTACCTCTAACAAAAAGAGGGTACACCTTCAGTTAAGTACAACTAACCAGTCAACACCTTTCATTTCTTGTCCACTGGAAGTATTAAAATCCATAACTCGGAGAGGCACCCAAACTTCCCAGTTCCCTTCCCTGGCCCCGAGGGAAAGTATTATTAACTTTTGTACAGGGTGACATGTGTGATTTCTTCCTTGGAAACTTACTTTGATAAACAACGAGGTCATTCTCTCTGAAGTATTATAATACCGTGACACACCGTGAATCATTCTGATGGCATTAATCAAATTTTGTATTCCATGTGCCATGGAAACCTAAAATTGAAATATATTAAGGGAAGTCCGTCATATATTTATATTTTTAATAAACAATATTCTATAAAATTCAAAACTCTAAAGATGCATAAAATAAGGCTGAAACTTTGATCTTAAAGTCAAATTTTACTAAATGCAATGTAGTGTCCCAGACTGGATCTTGGAACAGAAAAAGAATATCAGTTTTGACAAATGTACCAAGAAAATGCAAGGTGTTAATGGGAGAAACTTGAAGACGATTCTGTACAGTCATTGTAACTTACCTGTACATCTAACCTCAAAGGTTTGTTTAAAAATAAAATTTAAGAGGTGAAAATGATTTTACGATGAATAGTTCAAGATAATCTATTTAAAGATGAAGAAACTTGATATCTTCTAGGGTAAAGTGACTTGCTTATGGCCAGAAAGCTAGTTTAAAACAGAGATCAGACTAAAACCTATTTCCACTTGTGCAATTCAATTCACCTTTCAGCAAACCTACTAACTACCACCAGTTTTGGAGGATATTTGGGAGAAATTCAAATATATAAATTCAAATACAAGGACAGTTCTAGAGGCAGTCACAACAGAGTGGAAGAGATACATGCAAAACAGTGAAACAAGTGGAAAAACATTCAGCAAAGGGAAACAAGTACAAGAGAGACATAAACCATCACTAATGTATATTGAATGCTTACGATATGCCAGGCACTAGGCAAAGAGCTTCACATATTACCTTAATTTATGCTGACAATGATCATTTAAGGTACATTTGATCATCAGATCTGAAACATCACTGATTACAAGATGGCACCAATTCTTTATACATTAGCAAGAAAGGAAAACAATGCTCAATATGGGAAGTTTTAACTCTCCCGTAAAACTAAGTCACCAACAGGCTAAATGTCCTCTGTAAAGGTAATCATGAAATAAACGAGCCATTGGAGAAAATGACAGGAACAAAGATTCCATATCCAAATCTTGTTCCTTGGGTATGGTGGGAGAATAAACTGTCCTGAAGATTTGTACCACAGGCTGGTTACTTACTCACCGTAGTCTAAATTCATACCAATGTTACCAACAAAACAAAACAAAACAAAAAAAAACCACTTCAATCGGAAAACTAATAATCTAAGATGGTGTCCAGTCACATCCACAATGATTCCTAAGACTGGACTCTCTTATAAGATGTGCTCTGAGTACAGAGATGTTAAATGTGAGAAAGATAAGTGTCGTAGAACCTAAAAAATAAAGTATTATGATTATTCCCATTGTGCAGATGAGAAAACATAGAAGCAGGGAAGTTAAGTACCTTGTCCCACAGCTGTTACATAACTACAGTTATGTGCCTGACATTTTGAGACCCTGCTTTTAACTATGACACAAATCAGGATGGAAGAACAGGTCAATGGCTGTTCCACCATCAAGGAGCTTGCCTTTTGTTAGGACAAAACAGAATATATAAAAGATTTCTTTAATAATGACAAAATAAAACCAGAAATAACTACTGAATAGTGTGCTGTATGTCCTAGGCATCAGGTGTTAACTATGGCTTAATTAAATCAATTGTATGTGGCTTATGTAAATTAACATCATTACTTTGCAGGTCACCTTGTATGTCAGAATTCATATTATATGTGTTATCTGTATATCAGAAAGAGTCTAATGAAAATAAGCCTTGGAGGAGTCCCTTCCACTCTCAATAAAGCAAGTCTACAAAGTGCCCCTAGCTCCAGTGAAGAAGGCTCAGAGATGGCACCAAATGGGTCCATCAGGAAAATGACCTTCATCTAAATTTAAACATCATTTATTAGAGAAGCTCCTTGAGCACATAGTTCTTACCTATCTGTACACAGTGTTTGACACTTTATATGTAAAACACACGACAGATATGCCAATACCCAGAAAGTGCAATAGCAAGATAATAAAATGAAACATTAAACATAAAATTCATAAAATTTATCAACCAGAAATGGAAGCATGAGTCCTCTGAACTTTTCCTGCTCAAATGTGAGTTACAAGCTAAACTAGTTTGTGAGTTACAAACCAAAGCAATTGCTGTTTGCTTTTAATGAGAGTAAAGAAAATGAGGATAAAAAGAACAGTGAATGCATCGAAGATAGTGACTATATGAGGGGGAAGCAATTATATGACAGTATTATTAGTACTTCTTTAATATCAAAGATAATGTTTGAAACATTCCTTCATCAGAGAATATAAAAAGCTCAATAACAACAACAATAACTACAACAACAAAATAATAATAATAATGTATATCCATGGCTAGAGCAATCGAATAAAATTTTTTAAATTACTAGGATGAAAAGAACACCAGAATTAAAGATGTGAAAATTCTATAAATTTAAACAAGTCTTTTGAACCAAGAAGTTGAAATTAGTACACCTAAAAATCTAGAGAGTTTGATAACAATAAAAAGCATTGTACCTTTCTTCCAAGTTTATTTTTTATAATGAAGAGCTTTAAATAATATAGAAAAGTACAGAGAATAGTATAATGATCAGTTATATCCATCGCTACACTTGACAAAAATTAATGTTTTGTTACATTTGTTTCATCAATATCTACTTGCAGGTGGTCCTCCTAGAATAGACTTTAAATATATGTCTATTTAATATTTGAATCTTCAACTCTTGTGAGTAAGCCCAAATGCATGTGACATGTGATAATTCTGATTTTTCTTAGAAATAGATTTTAACTGCACATGCTATAAAGCTGGGGAATCAAATCACTGAGCTCCTGAGTGAGCCAAGTAATGGCCATAATTCTCTATTACCAATTTGGTTTGTTTTACTCATGATCATATGCACACAAACACCTAAAAAGTGATGCAACATGTTCTAATGTGAAACGGATTTTTAAAAGGTCCCCAGCAGAAGTCCAGTTGCTGGTACTAAAGGTGTAAATAAGCTGTAAATAAAACCCATCATCTCTTTATGGAATCAATTCCAAGACTGCTCCTGGAAGTCTTCCTATTCTCTCTCATGGTGCTTCCTGGTGGAGAATAGATTCCTGCATGGCCGTAAGAACTGTCCTGACCAAGGCTCTCAACTCTACGTTTTTCCCTCCTCACCTACATTAAACTCCTTGGTTAACGGAACCATCTTGGAATGGGTATGAACCACCCCTATACATATCTATCTTCTCCAAATCCTCTTTCCCTGACTCCAGGATGAAACCAGCATTGACCCTGCCCTAAAAAGTTTGGCCAACCAAACCATATAGCCAATGGCAACATGTATGTGGAGGCTTTGACTATGTCTTCAAAAATTAGAATGGAGAATGCTGAATATGTATATCAGACACTAATATAAATTATTTTGAAAGCATTTTAACTTAGAGAATAACTTGAAGAAGCAGCATGGAGAAGCAGGAAAAAAAACAAAGCAAAATGCCAGAGTGCTAGATTCAAATTCAGTCTCATGACTTACAGTTGTAGAAATGCTCAAATTCTATTCTTTGTTTTTAAAATGAGGACTGTTTTGCATACAGAATGAAAATGCATGGAAAGTATGTATTACAATGCCTACAGTAAAAGGCCAGGGGTTTTCAAGACTGTGGACACCTTTAAAAACACAATTGCCTGGGGAACTCTCCTGGCTAAACATGATCCACAAAAGAGGCAACACCCAGCCAAAGTTGGGCAACACTGCCGTAAGTTCTCAACAAATATTAGTTTCCTTGACTTCCCCTCTCTACTAAAGAAAGGATAAAATATACCATGCTCTACATCAGATTCCCAGAACTTATGGATTTATAACTGGAATTTTATACTCATTGACCAACATCTTTCCATTTCCCCCACTTCCAGCCCTGGCAACTAACGTTCTATGAGTTAGTTACCATGAGTTTGGCTTTTTAAAATTCCACATATAAGTGAGATCACACAGTGTTTGTCTTTCTCTGTCGTACTTGCTTCATTTAACATAATGTCCTCAAGGTCCACCCATGTCACAAATGGCAAGATTTCCATCTTTCATATATATATCCACTTATCCAGTGATAGACACCTAGGTTTTTTCCATATCTTGGTTATTATGAGTAAGTAATACTGTGATGAACATGGGAGTGCAGATATCCTTATTTCATTTACTTTGAAAAGATACCCAGTAGTGGAATTGCTGGATCATATGGTAGTTCTATTTAATCTTTTGAGGAGTCTCCGTACTGTTTTCCATAGTGACTGCATCAATTTACATTCCCACTACTTGTTTTTTTGATGTTAGCCATTCTTGTTATCTTGTTTTTTTGATGATAGCTATGAGGTGATATTACATTGTGGTTTTGATTTGTACTTCCTAATGATTAGTGATGTTGAGCTTCCTTTCACGTTCTCATTGGTTATTGGGATGACTTCTTTGGGAAAATGTCTCTTCAGTTCCTGCCCATTTTTTCCATTATATTGTTTGCTTTTGTTATTGAGTTGTATAAATTCTTACATATTTTGAACATTGATTCCTTATCTGACATATGATTTGCAAATATTCTCTTCCATTCCATAGGTTGCCTTTACATTTTGTTGATATATATATATATCAACATATATATAATATAATAATATAATATAATTATATTATACAATAATATATATTATAATATTACATATTTGATATATTATCCAAAAAATCATCCCTAAAACCAATGTCAAGAAGTGTTTTCCCCATTCTTTCTTCTAGGAGTTTTATGGTTTCTTGTGTTACAATGAAGTCTTTAACCCATTCCAAGTTAATTTTTGTGAGGAATGTAAGATAGGGGTCTAATTTCATTCTTTTGCATATGATTATTCAGTTTTCCCAATACTATTTATTGAAGAGACTATCCTTTCCTCACTGAGTAGTCTTAGCTCCCTTGTCAAAAATTTTTGACCATATATGTGAGGATTTATCTCTCTTGTTTCTGTCTGATTGATGTGTCTATTTTTATGCCAGTACCGTAATGCTTTAGTTACTCTAGCTTTGCAGTATAGCTTGAAATCAGGAAGTGCAATGTCTCTAGCTTTATTATTCTTTCTCAGGATTGTTTTGACTAGTGGACATCTTTTGTGGGTACGTACAATATAAATTTCAGGATTTTTCTCCATTATTGCAAAAACTGTCACTGGAAATTTGATAAGGATTGTATGAATATATAGATGGCTTTGGGTAGTGTGGAAATTTTAACAATATTCATTCTTCCAATCCATGAACATGGGATATCTTTCTATTTCTTTTTGTAGTGCTTTGATATCAGGGTAATGCTGGTTGGGCACTCTCTCTTGCTCATTCCTGGATCATTCACCCTAGGGGAAGCAAGTTACCCTATGTAAAAACTCATGTGGTGTGCAACTGGGGCCTGCCAACAACCATATGAGCAAGCTTAGAAGTGGACCCTCCAACTATTAGTCTCCACTTCCAGTGAGACCACATTCCCAGCTAATAGTTTGTCCACAAGTTCATGAGACACCCTGAGGCAGAGACACTCAAACTATGCTATGCCTGGATTCTTGATTTATAGGAACTGTGTTTTATGCGAATCAGTTCTGGGGTAATTTGTGATGTGCAATGGATTAATTAGTTTAATTCACAAATGAGATTATACTCATGATAATGTCAAATATTTAAATGTAGTTTGGAATAATAAGTTTATAATTCATGATAGATGTATAACAGGAAAATATATCTTTTATATAATTTTTCTGCAGTATACATTTCCCAATACACATATATTACGTTATTTTAAAATGAGTTATTTTTAAAAGTACACTTTAAAAAGCATACTTACTAGGTCATAGTTATAGAGAGGTTGACACACTTTTTCTAAAGTGTACAAATATCTGACATTATCTTTTGATTCATTTGCTGTATCTGTTATTCTTGCATCCAAATCACGCCAATTCTAAGGGAAAAAATGTATAAGAATTCCATGAAACATCCAAATATATCACTGTACTTAATTTTAATCAAGAAATTCAGGGGGCACCTGGGTGGCTCAGTCGGTTAAGCGTCTGCCTGCAGCCCAGGTCATGATCTCACAGCTCATGAGTTTGAGCCCCACGTCGGGCTCTGTGCTGACAGCTCAGAGCCTGGAGCCTGCTTCAGTTTCTGTGTCTCCCTGTCTCTCTCTCTCTCTGCCCTTCCCCCGTTTGTGCACTGTCTCTCTCTCTCTCTCTCTCAAATATAAACATTAAAAAAATTTAAAAAAAAAGAAATTCAGGCTATCTTCCGTAATCATACATATACTAAAGTAGCTGGTACTGAAATGTGATTGATACATCTGTTTCTTATATTATTTAAGACAAAGTTATCATAAACACCTTAAATGATTTACTAAAACTAAAGACTCATTCTTTTTGTAATTAACATTTTGTCTGTAGGCTTAAGCTGGACTTGCTTCTATCTGGAGTGACTTTTCTAAGTTAGTTATTTATAACATTGCATTATTTTGGGTCTTTGAGAAAAGGATATATATCTAGATAGACAGATACAGATATAGATAAATATAGACAAATTTTTTAAAGAAAGAATACAGAAAAATAAAAGGACCCAGAAAAAATCAAACCAAACTGTGGACTAGTGGACATGAGCTATCTATCTAACAAGAGCACATTTTTGTTTTTGATTTTCTATGTAGTTCTTTACCTCAATGAGCCTCTATTGATTCACAATTTCAAAAGCAACTTAAAAATAAATAGCAATCATTCCATAGTAGTATTGTCAAAATTGATATACAAAATATTGAGAAAGAAGTCTTCATTTCTATACTTCCTTTTCCTCTTTGGGAAATAATTGTGGAATATGAGAGAGCCTCACCTCAACGTTTAAAACCTCTAAACACATGGTTCCAGTATATGATGTGAAGAAGCAGTTCAAGAAGGGTAATTTTCTAGTTGGTTGTTCTGAAGCAAATTTTAAAATAAAAGGCCTTTTACCTTTAACAGTTTGGAGTGTGCAACATTAAGCACATTTATGACAGCCTTACAACTTGGTCCTTTAATCTGTTCAATGATATAATTGAATTTGGCTGACATGCGTTTCCAGTGTTCCAATTCAGTAAGTGGACCTGAGTCATCAGCTTCCTTTCTCATCTGCTCACTCTCAATAAGTACCTGCAATTAAAAAAAAAAAAAAAAAAAAAAAAAAAAAAAAAATCACAGAATTTAAGAATGTTACTTTCTTCTTTGGTAAAACCTCATTGTTTGTATCTTTTCAAAGGAAGCTAAAAATTTTTATAAATTTTAATTGAGGAATATTAAAAACTCTCAGCAAACTGGGACACCTCAGTGGCTTAGTCAGTTAAGCATCTGACTTCTGCTCAGGTCATGATCTCATGGTTTGTGAGTTCGAGCCCTGTGTCAGTCTCTGTGCTGACAGTTCAGAGCCTGAAGCCTGATTCAGATTCTGTCTCCCTCTCTCTCTGCCCCTCCCCCATTTGTGCTCTGTCTCTGTCTCAAAAATAAACATTAAAAAAAAATTAAAAGAAAAACTCTTAGGAAACTAAGAACAAAAGGGAACTTCTTTAACATGATAAATAGTATCTACCAAAAATCTATAGCAAACCTCATATTTAATGATGAAATTTTAGAAAATATCACTTTAAAACCAAGGACAAGAAAAATTTGCCACTAACACCATCCACAACTATTCAACGTGGTAATGGAGGTCTCCAAACAAGAAAAGCAACCAAAAGGCGTAAGAATTGGAAATTAAAAAAAAAACAAAAACAAAAACAATAATGGCAGTGTGCCTGGGTGGCTCAGCTGGTTGAGTGTCAGACTTGATTTCGGCTCAGGTCACGATCTCATGGTCATGAGATTGAACCCCACATCCGGCTCAGCACTAGGTGTGGAGCCTGCTTAAGATTCTCTGTCTCCTTCTGCCCTTCTTGTGTGCTCTCCCTCTCAAAAAAAATTGTCATAATCAAAGATGATATGTTTGGCTACATTTTTAAAATTCAAGAATATCTAAAGACAAACTTCTATAATAAGTAAAAGTGAACAATTCAGTAAGGTTACTGGATGTACACATAAATATTAGTAGCATTTCTTTACAAGCCATATAGCAATCTGAAAATGTAATTTCTAAAAGAAGATAGTATTTGCTGTAACAAACAACAACAATGATCAGATATCTAGAGATTAGCAAAAGATGTACAATATCTTTGTGGATAAAATTAGAAAACTTACTTTCAGCATACAAAAGAAGACCTAAATAAATGGAGAGAAATACCATGTTCGTGGATGGAAATCTTCAACCATATAAAGGTGACAATTTTCTCTAAATTAATGTATACATTTAGTGAAAACCAATCAAAATATCAATAGAGTTTTTCAGAATACTTGAAAAGCTAGTCTTAAAATTAATTTGGAAGAATAATTAACCAGAAATAACCAATGCAATTTTGAAGAAAAATACATAAATGACAAATGTTGACTTAGTAAAAAACTACAGAAATGGAAGCAGTATTACCTGAGTGTAAAACCCAAATAAGTAGACCAGTGGGATAGACAAAGGGATTTAGAAACTTTATGTATTACAGAGTGATATTAAAAATTTGTCAGGAGGAAACAATGGGCTATTAAATAAACAGCTTATTTTGGGGACAATTGGCTAACTATATGGAAAAAGACAAAATTAGATTCCTACTCCACATACACAATTAATTCCAGATGGATTACAAACCTAAATATTAAAAACAAAATGGCAACACTTTTAAAGAAAACATAGGAGATGAGGGGAAAATGATGAAGTAAAGCATGGAACTAAATATCGTAATTGTCAAGAAAATGGTTACCACTGGGGGAAGAAAAGGGAGTTAAAATTGGGAAGAGGGATGCATGAGGACTGTTAGGTGCTGGTAATGCTGCTTCTTGTGCAAAGGTTACATGAGTGTTCATTTTACAACAATTTGTTTCTTTTATGGTATTTATTTCTGTAGATTTCACTAATATTTAAGGTAAATAAATAACTCAGGAGAATATCTACATAATATTTAAGTAGAAAAGTTTCTTGAATAAAATACAAAAAGCACAATGTTCCTACCACTGGAGGTAGCTAAAATGAAGCTGGATTACAATTTGTAACTAATATGTTTACATTAAAATATAAAACTTTCACATGACTAAAGACACCATACCAAATGAAAATGTAGGACACAATGGAGACCAACAAAGTTAACATATGGAAAATATTATTTAAACTCCAGCAACTTGGTAAGATATCATCAAGCAATCTGAAATAAAACTAGGTGAAGGATGTGAACAGGCAATTCAACAAAGAGAAAACTTAAATAGCCACTGAACACATTCAACCTCAATAGAAATCAGAGTAATACAAAATAAGATATCATTCCACACCCAACATACTGACAAAGATTAGAAATCTAATGATCCAAGTGCAACAAAAGATTTGAAGAAATGGGAACTCTCATAGGCTTCTATAAAAATGAAGTAAGTTAATATAACCACTCTTTGGAGGGCTATGTAATACCCAATAAAAAAAGCCATATGCTATTGCTGTCAGCAATTCCACTGAGAAACTCTAGAACCTGTGCAAAGGAGATCTGAACAAAGGTATTAACTGAATTCTAAAAATTAACTGAATTTCTAAAAATAGAAACAACTGTCTTTCTGAAGGAATGGATGAACAAATCTCTCTACCTCCTTAAACAGAGGATATTAGACATGACTTAAATGTATCTTAATGTCTGAAAATGTATATAATAAACTGATAGGAACACCAGACAGTAGTTAAGTGAATAATTTAATTTATTTGTACCAACACAGATGAAAGAGAATGCTAAATGAGAAAAAACATAAACTGTGAAATGATATTATAAATACCAATTGTATAAAGACCTTAATCACAAATATATATTCTGTATTTATATATATACATAGTGTATACATATAATTTTAATATATATAATTTAAAGCTTACAAATATGAAAATGCAATAAAAGTGTAAAACTTTCAGGAGAATGAGAGACAAAAACATCAGGATAGTGGTAATATAGAGGGAAGGAAAGGGATGGGTTGGAGGCTTTCATGAAAATAAAACAAGATCTGAAGTAAATGTGGCAGAAAATAAAACAGATCTGAAGTAAAATGAGAATCTATCGGGGCGCCTGGGTGGCGCAGTCGGTTAAGCGTCCGACTTCAACCAGGTCACGATCTCGCGGTCCGTGAGTTCGAGCCCCGCGTCAGGCTCTGGGCTGATGGCTGATGGCTCAGAGCCTGGAGCCTGTTTCTGATTCTGTGTCTCCCTCTCTCTCTCTGCCCCTCCCCCGTTCATGCTCTGTCTCTGTCCCAAAAATAAATAAATGTTGAAAAAAAAAATTAAAAAAAAAAAAAATGAGAATCTATCTATTTAATCTCAGTGGTAGTTTCAGGGGTCTTTGTTATATTGTTTTCTGTACTTTTTATGTTTATAGCTTCACATAACTTAAATTGTGATGGAATTTTTAAGAATACAAAGGAAGTAAAATACACAGTTGATTTTTCAGACCCATGAAGGTTCTTTCTTCACTCCATGAAAGTTACTTGCTTTTAATTTTAACCATTCTGTGTAGAACTCTTTCCTAATCCTATCACAAGCTTCCTCGTCACCTTAAATAGAGGACACTAGACATAATTTAAATTTCTCTTAACTGGCTGAAGGTCTATCTAGTTTGAATCACAGAATTAAAGAATGAAAATTCTTGAAATTTAATTCCTGTTACAACATGTTTCGTAGATAGATACCAGCCTCAAATTGGGTACTTTTAGGATGCAGTACATTCTGTATTTGTGTGTGTGTGAAGAAGGGATTCTGTGAGAAAATTATCCTGATTTCAAGATTAAAAATCTCTCTCCTTGCAGCCACCACCTCGTCTTCTGCCATTTAGGGCCATACACTGCAAGTTTAATTTCACATGAAATCCCATCAAATATTTGAAGCTATCATGACCTCCTAAACCCCCCCTCCCACCCACTCCCAGGTCAAATATCTCCATGTACTTTCCTTGAATGACATTGTTCATATCCTTGGCCTATTTTTTTTTTCAATGTTGCCCATTTCTTAATGATGTAAAGAAGATCTTTACATATTATGGATACTCTTTGTTATATATGCTGATTATATTTTCTCCAAGAAAGTTGTTTTTTAATTTTGCTCATGGTAATTTCTGACATATGGAAGTTGGTAAATTGTTTTTATGTAGTCAAATATGTCAGTTTTTTCTTTCATGGCTTCTGAGTTTTGTATCTTAAGAAGATATCAATAGAGCTCTATGTTGTGTTCTGATTCATTTATAGGTTTTGTTTTATTTTTCACATTACTTATTTAGGGTTGCTTTTGTTCACTCACAGTGTTTTTGAGATTCATCCAATTTGTCGTGTGTATCTGTTTTTTTTTTTTTTCATTTTTAGCTTTCAAATTTATGTTTATAATTTATCTTGACTAATTTTTGCGTATGACAAGGTCAATGTTTATTTTAGATGTCATGGTTCAGATGTTTATTTTAGATTAAAGATCTCTCCCATTTCCTGCATTGATTCTACTTAATTGGAGCCATTTGCTGCAATTGCCCAATGTGATTTTCTTATTTCAACTTGTTAAATCTCCCTAAATCTCAGCTATTTTCTTTTGCTTGTTCATTTTCATGAAAGAAAATCTATATTGATTGATTGCAATAACTGGGGGGATCTCCTCAGCCATTGTGTAGGACAGAGCCTGATTTCCACAATGGGTTACAGCTCCCCCTTCCTCCAGCGACATAGTAAGTGGGTACAGAAGTCCTGCGGTGCTCTATTATCCACTTCAATTTCCTAGTGACACCTGGAACAAATTCTGTGACCAGCACTCCAGGCCCTGGTGGAGTTTCCAAAGTCCTCCAATTTTTCCATTCCAACTGCACCTCCTTCCTTCTAACATAGTTCTAAGAGAGGTAAATTGAAAGTGCTCTTTTCTAGAAAGCTTTTACTCAGTTAAGATTTTTTTTTGCCTTAGTCTTCACTTGACTGAACGTTTTCTTCTCTAGCTCCACTGACCTGTGCTCATGAACTAGAGATCCGTGAGTTGGCTCCTAGAGGCCTCTTTCAGTTTAGAGCAATTGCATAGTGCCTGATTTGGGGCAGTATGGGTAATGTAGGTTGGCACCTCTCAGAATGTTAACATATGCCCCATTCTTATTGTTGCTTTCCCTACTGCCAGAGAAAATTTATTTGGCCAGAGAGTTGTAGTAGTGACATGAATGAGCCTAGTTTGAACATCTTTGTCAACATAGACAATTCCATTGATCAACCAAGAGGTATTTATTTAGTGTCTAGCACTGTGGCTATAGTTGCTTCATTGTATCCTCTTCTTTTCTCTTATGAAGAGTATAAACAATATATAAAGTATTGGAATGAACACTGGCTATTCCTGATTCTTCATTTTTTTCATTCTCAACCCATATGGTTACGGTTCCTCCTTAAGAGTGAGACATATTTAAAATATTTAAAATATTTTTAGGTATCTAAAATATTTTTAAAATATTTAAATATTTAAAAATATTTAAAATGTTTAAAATTAAAATTGATTTTCAGTGGCCCCCAGAGAACAATGATTTTGCACTGAGGTCAAGAATAAGCTGAGTTTCATAAACGAATCTGCAAGATTCCTCTTCCCTTTACTTTCAGGGACACAATGCAATGGCTAGGACACAGCTGAGAGCTACAACTCACATCTGATGTAATACTTGAGTTAGCTCACCTGTTCGATCTGTCTGTACCATGTCATCAGCACATCCTCTAGCTGACGAACCATTTCTGAATTGCTGGCTGCAGCTGTCACTTCTTCAAAAGTATGCAGTTTGGAAAAATCGACATTGTCTACCTTCTTTAACTTAACTGTGCCCTCAATACTTACTCTAGCACCTAAAAGAGAAGAAACAATATTGAGAAGAGGTGTTTAATGTCAATGTGTGGTTCCAGCTATAATTACTCAAATGTTAGAGAAACATAAATACAAACTGATTGTTAGATTCTGACTTGGTTATTTGTTAATAATATGTATTTTAATAATATGAACTAATAAAGTTGTATATTTTCGAAAGAGCTAATAATATAGTAATATTTTTAAATATGGTGGAATTTTTCATTAATAACATAGGAATAGAATCTTCTTGCTACAATGGAAAATTTTTTAAAAATATATCCTACTCCTGCAAAGATCCCCGGAAATGAGAGGTTCTAATGATTTGATTTCTTACTTCTAGGTCTCATAATTATTTTGTGTAATACTTTCTTTTAAGATAGAACGGTTTTCCTCTAAAGCTTATCTTTAATAACAGATCTTACAGTTAATCTGCTCATTTTCAGTAATGTACTAAACGTTAAATTTTGCACTTACCATCTAAAAATGAAAGGTATCTGTTGATGGTTTCGGTGAAAATGTGTTTTTCAGATTCTCCTTGCTTGGACTGGTTTAGAGCACCCCAATTATTTGTTGCAAGAATAGCTGGCACAAATATACTTGACAGCATATTCCTAATCCCAGGAAGGATTCCTGTTGATGCATCCAGTACAGTAAATAGCACTTCCTGAAAGGGTGGTGTTCAAATGTTATATGCTAATCCCATTAAAGAGCTGAAAATCATAACCTATTTTTCATTACATTAAGCATAGGCAATACTTTCTATATATTAGGAAAACTTAGGCAGTCATGGAAATTAGAGTTCTAAAATCAACAAATTTATATTCTTCCCCCATTCTAACCATTCCCATGTGTGTTCATCAAGGCGACACTTTCCTCAGTGCTTTACTTTCAACATAGGTAAGGAGACAACCTGGAGCCTATACAATGTGGAGGAAATGAAGCTGAGCCTTCTGCATAAAGTTCTTAGTGGAAAATTGCCCTGTCCCGGGAAATGAGACTAGAAAAACTCAATCAGAGTAAGGAAAGAGCAATGAAATTAGCCCTCTGCCCAGAATTTTAAGTGGAAAAACTGATCAGTCTCAAGAAATAAAATACACAGAAACCAGAAGTCCAGCATTGATGAGTGTGACATTTCAATTAATACAATTTAAGTGACATGGACATCCCAAGCCAAGAAATTAAGATAAAAAACTTGCCAAAAGCCACTACATTTCTTTTTAACTGTGAGCGTATGGCAGTGAAGACTACAACAGCTACAAGTACAGTACGGTGCCACAGCCTTGATTCGTGCTAAGGAGTCACCAGTCCTTCCTACTACTGCTTCTGCACCATTAGTCAAATGCCAACACAGTAAAAAGGGCAAATGTCTTAGTATAATGATAAAAATACATTTTGACCTTGCACATTCCATGAAAGGGTTTAGGGAACCATTATGAGGACCACTGATATACCATATGCTCAACTGCGATTGGTTTTACACAGTTATAATGGTGTAAACAAATATTTATCTAAGCGAAATAGAATATAACTATGTTATAGTTATATAAGAACAAAGGGATGGAAAATGGCAGGAGGGGCATAGGATAAAAAAGAGCTAAATCTTCATCTTCCACAGAAAAAAGGCAATAGGTAATGTCTAACCTGGCAAAGGAGCAATCAGAGCACACCATTTAAAGATATGGAGGCAAATGAAAGAATCTGTTGAGAGATTAATGGTTGCTCCTGGAGAGTGAGATAGACTTAAGTTTTCATAACAAGACTTACAGAATTTCTTCCTTTTTTAAAACTGCATACCGGGGTGCCTCAGTGGCTCAGTCAGTTAAGCGTCAAACTCTTGATTTCAGCTCAGGTCATGATCTCACCACTTGTGAGACTGAGCCCCGCCTCTGGCTCTGCACTGGCTGCACCTTTTCTCTCTCTGTCCCTCCCCCCGCTTGTGTGCTTGCTCGTGCTCTCTCTCTCAAAATAAATAAACATGTTTTTCAAAATTGCGTACAGCTGTGACAAACATAAAAACTCACTTATAAAAAAGAATGAGTTGTTACAAACAAGTTGAAGAGAGAATTAGTGAAATGGAAGACACACTGGGGAAACATGTGCACATGGTTGGAGACATCATGGTGAAACTGTTTGAAAGACAAAGAACAAAATCAAACCGAAAGAAAAGACATATCACCTATGAAGCACATTTACAGAAAAGGTTTAATCAGCCACAAGAGATACCAGAAGACAATGCAGTATCTACAAGGAGTCACAGGGAAATGATTCCCAACCTAGACTTGAAAACCAAGCTAAACAACCTCTCTTAAAGCCATTTTTTGTCATAAACAGAAAAGGAGAAAAATTAGGGTGGATTTGTTACTTAGCAAGATAAGAATTTGCTAATATTATAATTTAGTCTCACAACAATCCTGCAAGGTGGGTATTACTATTTCCAAGTTAATAATGTAAAAACCTAAGTCATAGAAAAGAAAAGCAACCTGTCAAGGAACACTCCACTGGTCAGTGGTTAGGGTAGGTGACAAATTTGGGTCTATCTGAATAAAATTGCTATTTTTCCCATGTCATCAAGCTGCCTTCCCAGGACTAGATAAGCACTAGATAAGTCTTTCTAAACTATTAAATAGTTAAAATATTAAGTAATGAGGAAATTAAAATAACTAATACTCAAAATAATGTGAACATTAAATTCTTTCCCAGTAAATGGAAGGATGGAAATTATTTGCACACCATCTAGAAGAAATGGAATTTTCATAAATTTTAAAAGCAGTGTCTAAAGGATAAATATCACTTCATTCAACTATAGTAATTTCTCAGTTATCCTGAATACATGAATACATTTTCTTGGAACTCAAATCAGTCCTATATACAGAAAGGAGAGAAAGTAAAGTAAAAGTGTAACTATGATAATACATTCAATGTTTAACTACAGGCTGGTGACGTCAACACATGGTAGAATAAGATGTCCTTTGTTTCTGTCCCCTAACAAAAAACAATAATTTGGTTTTTATCAATGGACAAAAGTGGCTTTGTGGGAGCTCTGCGATCCAGCACCATATGTCAAGGAACTCAGGAAGAGTCTCACCCACCATGCATCAGAGAACAGGCATCCAGACCTCAGTCTAGGTGTGAAACCTGCAGTGTCCACGAACCAGCTCTAACCCCTCTCAGACACTGTCCTAGAACCCCATGGAAAGCACTATTAATCACCCATGGACACAAGAGCCTTTGTGGAAGTCCAGATTTCCAGAAGAGAAGTTACTGCACAAAGTTGAAGCAAAAAAATATGAGTTTGAGTGCACCGGATAAGGTAAGAGGAAAGACTTGACTTTATCCACATCACCCCTCCCCCAAGGCTGCACAGCTTAGGACCAAGGGAGATCTTCTCAGCCTTTAATTTCTCCTGTAGGGGCAAATGAGAACATGTAAATGAGCATCCAGCGTCCCCAGCTATGTAGGATGCTGCCAAAGAGGCTCATTTCTCTCCCACCCCATCCAGAGTACGAAATCATGAGCTGCATGGCTAGGGGACAGGGGGGTGTGGGCATAAACAAGCTGAGAGAGTGGCAGATAAGACTCTAGGAAGGCGCTAAAGGGAAGCAGATACTACTAACTCCACCACAGATTCCATCAAGGAGCCCACCACCGGAAGCACAGCATGGCCACTGAAAACAACTGGCACATGGATTCCCCAACTGGCCCATGGGCGCCCCCAGCTCTCAGCATGCCTCAGCCACACAATGCCCCTTACCCTGTGGCTGGCCCCCCATGCATGCTCCTGATGGCAGCAGTGAGAGCACACTTTGGCAGATGGCTAGGGACTACATGAAGAAAGCCAGCCCAAATTTGTTGGCTAGGGGGGAAATCACAAACTTGAGCTTTAGCATCACCTTTGGGAAAACAAAAGGGAGGCTGTCAACTTGGTGCACTGCAGGATTGAGAGAAGGCATACAAGCTTAAGAATTCCTCCACAAAAGGGATAAAGAAGTGTAGAGCAGGTTTATCCACAGAAGGTCTCTGAGAGCCGCAGAATCACCAACAGGGCTGAGGGAAGATATTTTTCTCCCAAAGATGGTAAAGACTAGGGGACATGACTACTACATCAAAGGCAAAGACAGCAATACAAAACTTTAAGGAATGTGATACCACCAAAGGATCACAATAATTTTCTAGCAAAAAAAAGACATGGAAATTTGCAATTCACATGATAAAGAATTCAACAAAGCTGTTTTAAGGAAACTCAGTGAACTACAGGAAAACACAGAAAGATAATTCAATGAAATCATGAAAAAAATACATAAACAAAACAAGAGATTTAATAGAGACAGAAATCATGAAAAAAGAGCCAATCAAAAATTTTGGAGCTGAGGAATACAAAGAAATGAAAAGTGCAACAGTGGTCATCAACAATAGAATGGATCAGGCAGAACAAAGAATCTGTGAGATAAAAGACAGGAACTCTGAATTTATTCAGAGGATAACAAAGAAAAAAGAATGAAAAACATTAAACCTGTGTGATCTATGGAATATCATCAAAAGTACCAATCTGCAAATTATTGAAGTTTTAGGAAAAGAAGAGAGGGAGAAGGGGAAAGAAAGCTTATTTAAAGAAACAGTGATTGAGAAAAGCCCAGATCTGGGGAGAGATTTAGATATCCAAGTTCACGAAGCTCATGGGTCACCAAACAAAACCAACTTAATGAGATCCTTTCCAAGACACATTATAATAAAACTGCCAAAACCCAAAGACAAAGAGAAAATCTTAAAAGTAGTAAGAGAAAAAAAAGCTTGTAACTTAGAAGAGAACCCTCCAAGGTTGCCAAAACAGATTTCTTAGCCAAACCCTGACAAGCCAGGAATGTGTGGAACCATGTATTCAAAGTGCTGAAAGAAAAAAAAATGCCAACCAAGGATACTCTATCTGGCAAAATTACCCTTCAGCAATGAAGGAGAGAGAAAGATTTTTTTAGACAAACAAAAGCTGAAGTAATTCATCACCATGAGATCCACCTTACAAGAAATGCTGAAAGGAGTTCTTTAAGCTGAAATGAAAGGACACTAATTATTCACATGAACACATATGAAAACATACAATACCCTAAAAAAGGTAAGTATATAGTCAAATTCAGAATACTCTAACACTGTAAATATGAGTGGTGTTGACCATGTAGTTCTAGTATAAAAGTTAAAGAATGAGTGTAATAAAAATAACTATAGGTACAAAGTTTGTTAATGAATATACAGTATAAAAAGAGATACATTGTGACATCAAAACATAAAAGGGAGGAGTAAGAGGATAGAGTTTTTGCATACAATTAAAGTTAGTTGTTATCAGCATAAAATAAAGTGTTATAGCTATAATGTCTTATGTAAGCCTCATGGTAACAGCAAAGCAAAAACCTAGGGTAGATTCACAAAAGATTAAAAAGGAAGGGAACAGAGCATACCACATGGAAAAACACCAATTTACAAAGGTAAGTAGAAACAGAGGGAAAAAGAAAAAAAAATGGAAGTATAAAACAACAAAAAGCAACCAATAACATAGCATTAGTAACCCTTTACATATCAATAATTATTCTAACTGTAAACGGATTGAATTCACCAATCAAAAAACACAGAGTGGCTGGATGGATACAAAAACAAAACAGCTATATGCTGCCTAAAACAGACTGACTCCAGCTTTAAGGACATACAGAGGCACAAAGTGAAAAGAGAAAATAAATATGCCATGCAAATGGAAACGAAAAGAAAGCAGAAGTAGCTATACTTATATCAGACAAAATAGACTTTAAGCCAAAACAGTAACAGTAGACAAAAAAGGTTATTATACAATGATACACAGGTCACTTTATCAAAAAGATAAAGCAGTCATAAATATATATGCACCCAACAACAGAGCACCTAAATACATTAACCAAATGCTAACAGATCTGAAGGGAGAAACACACAACACAATAATAGTAGAAGATTTTTAATACCCTACTTTCAACAGTGGTTAGTTCATCCAGACAGAAAAGAAACAAGGAAATATTTTACTTGAACTGTAGTTTACACCAAATGGACCTAATAGACATATACAGAATATTCCACCCAATAGCAGAAGAATATATTCTTCTCAAATGCATGTGGAACATTTGCAGGAGAGATCCTATGGTAGGCCACAAAACAGCAAATTTAAGATGACTGAAATCATACCAAGTGTTTCTTTTTCCAGTCACTATTTTATGAAGCTAGAAATCAATAACAAAAGAAAGAAAAACTAGAAATTTCACAAATATGTGAGAATTAACACGCTTCACACAATCAGTGGGTTGTATTTCTTTAGAAGAAATCTAAAGGGAAATTAAAAAATATCTTGAAACAAATGAAAATGGAAACATAACATACCAAAACCTATAGGGTTTGGGATGCAGCAAAAGCAGTTCTAAGAGGGAAGCTTAAGCAATAAAGGAAGATATTATAAAAGGAAGATATTAAACAACCTAACCTTACAATCAAGGAACTAGAAAAAGAAGAACAAACTAAGCCCAATGTTGGCAGAAGAAAGGAAATAACAAAGAAAAGAGCAGAAATAAATGAAATAGAGATCAGAAAAACAATAGCAATGACCAACAAAACTAAAAGCTGTTTTGTGAAAAGATAACCAAAACTGTTAGGAAGAGTAAGAAAAAAAAGAGAAGACTCAAATAAATAAAATCAGAAATAATAAAGGAGACATTAGGACCAAAGAAACACAAAGGACCATAAGAAACAACTATGGGGATGCCTGGTTAGCTCAGTCTGTAAAGCATGCAACTCTTGACCTCAGGGTCATGAGTTCAAGCCCCACATTGGGCATAGAGATTACTTAATTTAAAAAAGAAAGAAAGAAAACAAAGAAACAACTATAGACAACTATATTCACACTAATTGGACAACCTAGAAGAAATGGATTAACTCTTGGAAACATACCATCTACAAAGACTGAATCATGAAGAAACAGAAAATCTGAACAGACCAATAACAAGCAGAGATTGAACCTGCAATCAAAAACCTCCCAACAAAGAAAAATCCAGTACCAGATGGTTTCACTGGTAAATTCTACCAAACACTTAAAGAAGAATGAATGCCAATCCTCCTAAAATTCTTTCATAAAATTGAAGAGGGAACACTCTAAACTCATTTTACAAGGCAAGAATCATCCTGATACCAAAGCCAGATAAGCACACTACAAGAAAATTACCAATATCCCACTTACCAAAAGAACAATATCCCTAAAAAAGAGATGCAAAATTTTCAACAAAATACTAGCAAACCAATTCGACAGCACATTAAAAGCCTCATACATCATGACCAAGTGAGATTTATCCCTGGGATGCAAGGATGGTTCAACATATACAAATGAATAAATATGATACACCACATTAACAAAGTGAAGGATAAAAAGTATGTAATCATTTCAACAGATGCAGAAAAAGCATTAGACAAAATACAACACTCTTTCATAATAATAAAAAAAAAACTCTTAAGAAATTGGGTACAGAAGGAACATACCTCAAAATAATAAAGGCCACATATCACAAACTCACACTTACCAGTGAACCAGCAGTGAAAAGTGGAAAGCTTTTTCTCTAAAAGAGAAAAAATAATTGGAAAAGATAAGGGTGCTCACTCTCACCTCTCCTATTAAATAAACACCGGAGGGGTGCCTGGGTAGCTCAATCACTTAAGCATCCAACTCTTGATTTCAACTCAGATCTTGATCTCGTGGTTCGTGGGACTGAACCCCACATCAGGCTCCAGGCTGACAGTGTGGAACCTGCTTGGGATTCTCTCTCTCCCTCTCTTTTTGCCTCTCCCCCACCTCTCAAAATAAATAAATAAAACTTAAAAAAAAGATAAACACAACACTGGAAATCCTAGGCAGAGCAATTAGAAAAGGAAAAAATATATATAAGTCATCCAAATTGAAAAGGAAGGAAAATTACCTCTGTTTACAGATGATATAATATTGTAAATAGAAAATCCTAAAACACCACCCAAAAAACTGTTAGAAAAATTGCCAGTAAAGTTGCAGACTACAAAATAAACAAACAGAAATTAGTTATGTTTCTACATATGAAGGACAAATCATCTGAAAATTAAATAAAGAAAACAATCCCATTCACAATAGCATTGAAACCAATAAAATTCTTAGGAATAAAATTAACTAAGGAGGTGAAAGATCTCAAAACTATGACATTAATGAAAGAAATCAACGATGACAAAATGGAAAGATATCCCATGTTCATGGATGGGAAGAATAAATATTGTTAAATGTCCACATTACCCAAAGCCACCTATAGATGCAATGCAATCTCTATCAAAATTTTAATGGTATTTTTCCCTCAGATAGAAAAAGCAATCCTAAAATTTGTATGGAACCACAAAAGACACCCAAGAGCCAAAGTAATCCTAACGGGGAAAAAGAAAACCAAAACTGAAGGCATCACACTTCTTGATTTCAAACTATACTGCAAAGCTATAGCAATCAAAACAATATGATACTTGACATAAAAATTGACACATGGGCCAATGGATTTGAATCAAGAGCCTAGAAATAAATCCACACATGTACACTCAACTAAAATTTGACAAGAGAGCCAAGAATATTCAATGAGGAGAGGACAGTCTTCTTCAATAAACACTGCTACGAAAACTGGATAATTAGATGCAAAAGAATGAAATTTTAAATTTTTTTTTTCAACGTTTATTTATTTTTGGGACAGAGAGAGACAGAGCATGAACGGGGGAGGGGCAGAGAGAGAGGGAGACACAGAATCGGAAACAGGCTCCAGGCTCTGAGCCATCAGCCCAGAGCCCGACGCGGGGCTCGAACTCACGGACCGCGAGATCGTGACCTGGCTGAAGTCGGACGCTTAACCGACTGCGCCACCCAGGCGCCCCAGCAAAAGAATGAAATTTAACCTCTATCTTACACTATTCACAAAAATTAACTCAAAATTAACTGAAGACTTAACCATAATACCTGAAGCCATAAAACTCCTAGAAATAAACATAGGGGAGTGCCTGGATGGCTCAGTCAGTTAAGTGTCTGACACTTGATTTCAGCTCAGGTCATGATCTCATGGTTGTGGGATTGAGCCCCATATCAGGCTCCACACTGGACATGATATATGTTCCATTGTGTATATATATATCGTACCTTCCTTATCCACTTATCCACAGTTGTACACTTAGGTTGCTTCTATATCTTGCTTATTGTGAATAATGCTGCAATGAACCTGGAGATGAAGATATCTCTTTGAAACCCTTATTTCATTTCCTCTAGATATATATCCAGAAGTAGGATTTCTGGATCATATGGCAGTTCCATTTTTAATTTTTTGAGAAACCTCCATACTTTTTTCCATAGTGGCTGTACCAATTTACATCCCACCAATAGTGCATGAGGGTTCCCTTTTCTCCACATTCTCACCAACACTTATCTCTTGTCTTTTTTTTTTTTTAAGTTTATTTACTTATTTAAGTAATTCCTACACTCAACCTGGGGCTCAAACTCATGACCCTGAGATCAAGAGTCCCATGCTCCCCTGACTGAACCAGCCAGGTGTCCCTATCTCTTGTCTTTTTGGTGATAACCATTCTAATGGGTATGAGGTGATATCTCATTGTGGTTTTGATTTTAATTTCCCTGATGATTATTGACTTTGAGCATCTTTTCATGTACCTGTTAGTTATTTGGATGACTCTGAAAAAATGTCAATTCAGTTCCTCTGCCCATGTTTTAATTGGATTATTTGTTTGTTTGCTATTGAGTTGCACAAATTCTCTATATATATTTTATATTAACCCCTAATGAAGTAGATGGTTTGCAAATATTTTCTCCCATTCCATAGGTTGCCTTCTCATTTTATTAACTTTTTTTTTTGCTGTGTTGAAACTGTTTAGTTTGATGTAGCTGCTTATTAATTTTTGCTCTTGTTGCTTGTGCTTTTGGAGACATAACCAAAAAACCATTGTCAAGACCAATGTCAAGGAACTTTTCCCCTATGTTTTATTTTTTTAATTAAAAAAAATTTTTTGGAGTTTGGGGGATGGGGAGAGGGACAGGGAGAGAGAATTATTTAGCCATGAGAAGGAACGAAATCCTGCCTGTAAGACAACATGGATGGATCTGAGGTCATTATGCTAAGTGAGATAAGCCTGACAGAGAAAGATAAATACTATACAATCAGACTTATATGTGGAATCTAAAAAAGTTGACCTTATAGAAACAGAGAGTAGAATGTTGATTACCAAGGGCTGTGGGGTAGGGGAAATCCAGGAAATGTTTGTCAAAGGATACAAACTTCCAGTTATAAGATGAATAAGTTTGGGGGATCTAATGTACAGCATGGTGATTACAGTTAATACTGTAATATATACTTGAATGTGGCTAAGACAGTTCATCTTAAATGTCATCACCAAAAACAAAAACAAAAAAAGCTAATTATGTGAGATGATGGAGCATTAGCTAATGCTACAGTGGTGATCAGTTCACAAAAGATAAGTGTATTAAATCAACATGTTATACAGCTTAAACTTACACAATATTCCATGTCGGTTACATATCAATTAAGCTGGAAAACAACATTTAACCATATATTTGGAAAAGATGTAAACATACCTCATGAATATTTTTAACATTTATAGCAATATCATTGTGACAGCGAACAAAAAATATACACAATCCTTTTAGTTTCTCAGGGGCTGCGTTGTCTATATACAATCTCATCATTTTTGCCCCTTTGGTTGCTCCAGCAATAGTTCGACCACATTCTGAAAACAAAAATCAAGAACTTAGTGTATGATCACATAACTGATCAAATGTGACAAATTACCATGGATCATACACTGTGGTTTCTTGCTTTACTTTACCGTAAGCAATTTTTGATATGATTGTGGAATAATGGTTTTTTTGTCTACGAAAAGATATCAATAATTGAAATTCTTAAAGTGCAGCCTCCTCAGTTTTCTTTCCCTGAGCTCTGCACTTTTCTCCCTTCAAAGTCTTCACACAAACTATTCTATCCCATCTCCAACCCTCTGCCTCTCTATTCCTACTCACCTTTCAAATCTCAGCTGAAACACTAGCTCTTGGAAGCCTTCACTGACTCCGCAGAGAAGATTTAGTCCCCTACTAACTACACTCATAGCACCCAAATTATGTTAAATTCTTCCTTGACCTGGTTTGGATGAGAATCATTTAATTTTATTGTTTTATTTTTTTTTTTAACGTTTATTTATTTTTGGGACAGAGAAAGACAGAGCATGAATGGGGGAGGGGCAGAGAGAGAGGGAGACACAGAATCGGAAACAGGCTCCAGGCTCTGAGCCATCAGCCCAGAGCCCGACGCGGAGCTCGAACTCACGGACCGCGAGATCGTGACCTGAGCTGAAGTCGGACGCTTAACTGACTGAGCCACCCAGGTGCCCAAGAATCATTTAATTTTAAAAACCATTAAAAATATAATAATTTTGTTAGATGGTTGGTTGTAATTTTTATTTTACTTATTTTTTATTTAGATTCAAGTTAGTTAACATATAGTATAGTATTGGTTTCAGGAGTAGAATTTAGTGATTCATCACTTACATACAACACCCAATGCTCATCTCTAACATGAGCACCCTTCTCTAGTGCCCATCCCCC